CTGGAAATATCCTCTCTATTGCTGTGTTGCGTCGTATGACCGACTTGGCTAACAGCACCAAGGTTCTGATGATGGCGATGGCTGCCTCCGACCTGCTCGTTGGTTTGTTATCCCTTCTCTCTGCCGTCGCTTCGGCACTGGACAGATGGCCATTTGGGACGGTTGGATGTACACTAGTATCACACTGTATATTCATTGGTTTGTTTATTTCTATATTCTCTATCACTGGACTGAACGTTGACCGGTACATCGCTATCACAAGGCCTTACAAGTTTCCTGTGTGGTGCAGCAAACGACGTACTGTAATTTTTGTAGCCATTTTCTCAACTTTAGCCGTCTTTGGTTCAATAATTCAACATTTCATTGGACAACATATTCAGTACTACCCAGCTTTTGCCATGTGCTATTTCAGCTATACTTCTGATGCTTGGAACATAGTGGATATGGTCATAACCTTGGCCATTCCAACACTAGTCATAACACCCATTTATTACCGCATCATTCGAATCAGTCGACAACACCAACTGCGTGACAATCCAAATAATGAAGGTAACAATGTTCGAGACAACAAAGCTCTGAAGGCGTTTTTGATGGTCACCTTGACATTTAGCATTTGCTATTCGCTGAATACACTCCTGCGCATGGTGGAGGGTTTAACTAATTGGACCAGTCCAGATTGGCTCCAGTTCCTAGCCGAGTGGCTTTTCTTTGCTAACAGCGCTTTCAACACGTTCATTTATTGTCTCTTCAACCACGCTTACCGACAGATGGCCAAGAAAGTTATTCAAGAGAGATTCCTGTGTTGCAAACAGTCTGTTGTGGGACCAGTGCACATCTAACAATGAAACATGTAACTTTGGTTGAGGATAGGCATAGTTGGTACCCTGCAAAGGGGCTGCTTGGGTAGAGACTATAACAGAGCCAGCTGCCTGATTCTAAGGAATGAGAGAGACTGGAAACGCTGTGGGAGATCCTGTCTGTGGGTAACCTAATAATCATATTGCATTATGCTGTGTTTGGCTGCATTAAGACTTCTTAAACTACTGTATTTCTGTGACGTCACTCCTTTGTTCAAAGTGTAGATTATTTTTAAAATCTACAGTTAGCTGTACATGTAGATTCATAACAAATCTACAATCATTGCAGTTTCATAACAACAAGGAGATTACCCACGTGTCCCATCCCTCCCCCCTGTTTCAGTCAGAGCAGTTGTGACTGGAGGAATGGGGTATCGTATAACTAGAATTTGGCACCGTGACACTGATTCTACTGGGCCTCTTAAGTGGCACAGTGGGCAAATTTAAGGGATACCACAAATGCCCACACTCAGGCCTTGTTTGTACATGTATGTTTGTCTTTCTCCATAGAAAATGACGTATAAGTGTCGCTTTTTTTCAGGATTAATGCTTTATAAAGCAAGATTTTCGACAAAGATTTGAATTTTCTCTTCCCCTTTCAATAAAGAATAAATTTGATGTGTTCTAGCTACTTTTCTGTGTCTACGTTTTGCCCAGTCTTTCTCGGACATGTATGTTGGATTATAGTTTAATTGAATTGACGCAAACTCGGGTACATCTTCTAGTTGTACCAAGATTATACCGGTCCTGAGGTGACCGATCTATCAGGATTACTGCTCCCTAAGTTTGCAGTCCAGCACATTTATCTCACTTTGTTTCAAACGGCTAACAAACATACTTGTATAAACTTGCTTGAAGAGGTACATGTAGCCTGTAAAGTTTCTTGTGATGTTAATTTTTGTAGTACTGAAAGCAATGTCAGGTGGATATGTACGCTTTATAGAAATTCTTTATTGTTATCATTTAACTCCAAAATCTGCAATGTGATTTGAATCCAATGTTGCTCATTCTCCAAACGAAATACATGTAGATATAAGTATAAAGTGAGCATTTTGGAATGATTCCTACAAAAAGAACATGTACATGTATACATGTATGTAGGGACCAGTGAAGCTCATTTTGAGTGGTTCGTAAAGTGGTTCGAAAACTGCTAACCATACTTTAATGAAGTGGATACAGCATTCCTCAATTTCATAGAGTCCTGTAATGGTTGTAGTCCAGAAGGTTTGGCTGCAATGGCACACATAACAATGATTCCAAGGCACAAGAGGAAGAGAAGAGAGTAAATAAATGTACATCCAGCACTGAGTGTCGACTGCACAAATACCCTCATGAAGTTGATATAGCATCCCTCAATTTCATAGAGTCCTGTGGTGGTTTTAGTCCGATAGGTTTTGCTGCAATGACACACGTATAACGAATCCAAGGCGTAAGATGACGAGAATACAGGTACATGTATACATCCAGCACTGAGTGTCGACTGCACAAATACTCTCGTGATGTTGATATAGCATTCCTCAATTTCATAAAATCTTGAGGTGGTTTGAGTCCGATAGGTTTTGCTGCAATGACACACGTATAACGAATCCAAGGCGCAAGATGAAGAGAAGAGGCTAAGTATCCAGCACTGAAGGTGTTGACTGCACAAATACTTCCAGTGTTTTCCGTAGCCAAAACCCAGGCACAGATGGAACAAAGGTGTGCACTCAGGGGAAGGGTTAATAGAGAGACTGTCATAGACCCGCGACTCCATGTTCGTGCAACAATGCTATGGGAAATAATTTCAGTCAGAGAATAGAACTTGAAACTGTAGATTCCTGCAAAGAATTCTTGGCATGAATCTACAGTCCTTGTCCATTCTCTACGACATAACATCAACGGATTTAAAATCTTGAACCCAAGCATCTGGCAATGAAAAACAGCAAACTACATGTATCAAAACACTTTCCCTCCGCTCTCATTATGCGCAATCAGTGAAAGGTGCTACACACTCAGTTCCCTGAACCTGAATCTTCTCGAAATGACACCAGTATGCTTTTCTATAGACCTTGATTAAAATGATCCATTACAGGTCCCTGGAAAAGTTCATGGGGTTGTACATGTACATGAATGTGTTTACAACATGTTACGGTCAGCTCCTAAATCTGTCTTTGAAAAAATACAAACTTTATCTATTTGTCATAAAATTAATGGACTTTGGTTTTCTTTACTATTCCTTTACATCAGTACACAGAAAATAATTCTACATGTATATCATTTTGTATTGTCGATATCTGTGTAGTGAAGGAGACAAAAACTAAATCAGCTCAATCTTTGCACAACCATGGTAACTGGCATTGTTGCCAACAGGCCTTCCACAAATACATGTCATAAGTGTACCACTGCCATCCAATCCTTGTTAATCCATGAATTTACTGACAGCTCACTAACTGTTGGTGGGAAGCCTTTTCAGTGTGTTTAATGATGACTGTCATTTAATGAAACCATAAAGTGGCCTTGCCAACCCATCATGTTTTTAAGATTTTCTTACAATTTTAAGGGAACTTTATTATCACATCAATCACTGCTAAAAAAAATTAACCCTTATTGACGTAGATCTTGCAATGAGAGTGAGTATGGGGATGAGGGTAGTACACACCCACTATCATTTCATGATTTCAGCACCAGTTGCGATTATTCTTAGCGACGACACACAAGCACAACTACTGCTGTAAAGCTATGGGAAGCACAGGACGGGGAGATTTGACTTTGAGTAATATTCAAGAAGTATTTTGGAGTTGTGGTTTATTTTGATGTCTCAGTGCATTGACAGGTGTATCCTCGACTAGGAAGCCTCAATTTAGGGCACTCTCTAAGCTACAAGGAAAGACATCCAAGTTGTTGGTCAAAACTCTGTCAGAGAGGTTGACACACTGAGTGGATTTGCTGACTTCAACGCATGCATGTAGTCCTGCACACTGTTTAGAGTTCAGCGATGGCTGATGTCCTTCCTGATTCTTTTGGCCTTTCTCCTGTTCTCATCACTCTGCGGACTTGTTTCATCACCGTCCTTGCAATCGTGATTATTGTTGGAAATATCCTCTCTATCACTGTGACGTGTCGCGTGACTTACTTGGCCGACAGCACCAAGGTTCTGATGATGGCGCTGGCCGCCTCCGACCTGCTCGTTGGTTTGTTATCCCTTCTCTTTGCTGTCTCTTCGGCACTGGACAGATGGCCGTTTGGGACAATTGGATGTACATTAGTATCACACTGTATATTCATTGGTTTGTTTATTTCTATATTCTCTATCACTGGTCTGAACGTTGACCGGTACATCGCTATCACAAGGCCTTACAAGTTTCCTGTGTGGTGCAGCAAACGACGTACTGTAAGTTTTGTAGACATTGTCTCAATTTTAGCCGTCTCTGGTTCAATGATTCAGTATATCTTTGGACAACATAGTAAGTACTATCCAGCCATTGCCATGTGCAGTTTTAGCTATACTTCAGACGCTTCGAATATATTGCTAGTGTTTGTAGCCTTGGCCATTCCGACACTAGTCATAACACCCATTTATTACCGCATCATTCGAATCAGTCGACAACACCAACTGCGTGACAATCCAAATAATGAAGGCAACAACGTTCGAGACAACAAAGCTCTGAAAGTGTTTCTGATGGTCACCTTGACATTTGCCATTTGCTACTCACCGAATTCACTCCTGCGCTTGGTGGAGGGTTTAGCTAATTGGACCAGCCCAGATTGGCTCCAGTTCATAGCCGAGTGGCTTTTCATTGCTAACAGCGCTTTCAATGTATTCATTTACTGTCTCTTCAACATGGCTTACCGACAGATGGCTAAGAAAGTTATTCAAGAGAGAATCCTGTGTTGCAAGCATTCTGCTGTGGGACCAGTGAACATCTAATAATGAAACAGAACATGTAACTCTGGTTGACCGTACCAGTGACAGAACCAAATCCTTGACAAGGAAGATCTATCAGTATGTCAATACCCTGAAAAGGGCAACAAGGACAGACTACAACAGAGCCAGCTGCCTCCTTATGGAATAAGAGAGACTGGAATCGCTGTGGGAGATCCTGTCTGTGAACAACATGATACTACTAGTGCATCAAGCAGTGTTTGGCTGCATGAAGACTTCAGCGCATCAGGGGATGTAAAATCTGAACCCAAGGATCTGGGAATGACAAACAGCAAACTATCCAAACACTTACATTATTCCTTCCATTCTCATTGTTCATGATCAGTGTAGGGTGCTACATGTACATACTCAGTTCCCTAAACCTGGATCTTCTACAAATGGTAGCAAGGGGGGTGTGCTTTTCTACCATCCCCTTCTTAAAAGCAGCCATTACAGGTCTCTGTGAAGTTGCATGAGATGGCACATGTATATAATTGTTTACAACACGTTATGGTCAGCTCATACACCTGTCTTGGCGAAAATAAGAATAACACAAATTTTATCCATTTCTGAAAGAAATCATTGGAATTTGGATTTTGTTACTCATCCTTTACATTAGCGCATAAAAATAATTGTTCTATATTATCTGTAAAATAAGTGATGCAGTGACACAAAAACTATATCCGCTCAATTTTTGCACAACAATGGTAAATGAAATTGTTGCCGACAGACTTTCCACGAATACATGTTCTACGTAAACCATGGGCCATCCAATCTTTTTTACTCCATGAATACCGACAGCTCCTTAACCATCAGTGGAAAGCCTTTCCAATGTGTTTAATGACGGTCATTGAATGAAACTGGCCTTGCAAACCCATCCTGTCTTATAATTTTAATTAAGGAAACTCTGAGCACTGTTATCAGATCAATCACTGCCAAAAGTGGATTTATTGTGCATCCTTTAAAGACGCACGGTAGTGTAGGTCTTGCAATGAGAGTGAGGATGGGGCGGGAACAGGATGGTACGTGCCCACGTACTACACGTATTTCAATGCCAGTGGTGATTTTTTTTAAGATTGACACAGAGAAATACTGCTGAAAAGCTACCGGTAGCACAGGATGGGGAGATTGGACTCCGTGTAAAAGTTCAAACAACATTTTGGAATTGTGGCTTGCTTTGATGTGCCTCAGTACAATGACAGGTGTTTCTGTGATTGGGAAGCCTCAATTTATTAGAAAGCTCTGTCGGTTAAGAGAAAGACATCCAAGGTGTTGGTGAAAGCCCACACTTCTAGTGAAATTAAACTGTCAGAGAGGTTGACACACTGGATGGGTTTGCTGATTTCAACGTACACGATGTATATATGTGAGTAGTCCTGCACACTCTTTGGAATTCAGCGATGGCCGATGTCCTTCCTGATTCTTTTGGCCTGTCCACTCTTCTCATCGCTCTGCGGACTTGTTTCATCATCATCCTGGCAATCCTGATCATAACTGGCAATATACTCTCTATTGCTGTGATGAATCGTATGACCGACTTGGCTGACAGCACCAAGGTTCTGTTGACAGCGCTGGCCGCCTCCGACCTGCTTGTTGGCTTGTTATCTCTTCTCTCTGCCGTTGCTTCAGCGCTGGACAGATGGCCGTTTGGGACGGTTGGATGTACGCTAGTATCATACTGTACATTCATTGGTTTGTTTATTTCTATATTCTCTATCACTGGACTGAACGTTGACCGGTACATCGCTATCACAAGGCCTTACAAGTTTCCCGTGTGGTGCAGCAAACAACGTACTGTAATTTTTGAAGCCACTGTCTCAATTTTAGCCGTCTTTGGTTCAATGATTCAACATTTCATTGGACAACATATTCAGTACTACCCAGCTTTTGCCATGTGCTTTTTTAGCTATACTTCTGATGCTTGGAACATAGTGGTCACAGTCATAACCTTGGCCATTCCAACACTAGTCATAATACCCATTTATTACCGCATCATTCGGATCAGTCGACAACATCAACAGCGTGATAATTCAAACAATGAAGGCAACAAAGCTCTGAAAGTGTTTTTGATGGTCACCTTGACATTTGCCATTTGCTACTCACCGAATTCACTCCTGCGCTTGGTGGAGGGTTTAACTAATTGGACCAGTCCAGATTGGCTCCAGTTCATTGTAGAGTGGCTTTTCTTTGCCAACAGCGCTTTCAACGTGTTCATTTACTGTCTCTTCAACCAGGCTTACCGACAGATGGCTAAGAAAGTTATTCAAGAGAGAATCCTGTGTTGCAAGCATTCTGCTGTGGGACCAGTGAACATCTAATAATGAAACAGAACATGTAACTCTGGTTGACCGTACCAGTGACAGAACCTAATCCTTGATGAGGATAGGCAATGTTGGTACCCTGAAAAGGCCTGCTTGGGTAGAGACTACAACAGAGCCAGCTGCCTGCTTTCAAGGAATAAGAGAGACTGGAATCGCTTTAGGAGATCCTGTAGAAGGCAACCTAATAATTATAATGCATTATGCAATCTTCAGCTGCATTTTGACTTCATCACATCAAGGGATGTAAAATCTGATCCCAAGCATCCGGCAATGAAAACAGCAAACTATCGAAACACTTTTCCCTCCGCTCTCATTGTGCACAATCAGTGAAAGGTGCTACACACTCAGATCCCTGAACCCGGATCTTCTAGAAATGACACCAGTGTGCTTTTTTTATCATCCCGATTAAAAGGAGCTATTAAAGGTCCCTGGGACAGTTCATAAGATAGTACATGTACATGAATCTTATGGTCAGTTCATAAACCTGTCTTTCACAAAATATATATATACATGTATGAATGTGAAGGACCACCCCTCTTCCTGCTGTTGGGTCAGGTCTAAGGTGCAGTCCCCAAGTGTTTGGGTACAAGGAAACCAACCAGGACTCGTGACTTGATCTTTATATATGCGATTACGTATATTTGATTTCAATTCTCTGATGCATCCCAATTTGTGCGGAGGAAAGAGACCTTAAATACCTGTACGTGTACAACCAGAATAAATACATAAAATTCTTCCCATACAAGAATTTATACAATGTATAACTGATAGAGTTGAATAAAGAAAAAAAAGAGTTGTTCATTTTGGGATATTAGCGTGAACAATGAAATCTACATTTGTACTTTGGATGACCCCTAGCCAGACACAGACGCCTCTAATAGGTATTAACAATGTTCACTGCACCGCTGTCAGTGTAGCTCTGGCTGGCGGCGTGTAAGCGAGCCTACAGTACAGTTGAAGTATACGCACCCGAACAATGATACACAATGCAGTACGATTTCGGCATGTACGGTAACCTATAGAGTGCATGTTGCAATGTCACATACACACACCTGAGTGCAGAGAGGTTGCTGTCAACTTGACAAAATTTCTTGACTGGATTTGTATCACAAAATACGATGCAAAGATACCGGTAAGGCATAAAATCACGGCGCTAGACTAGCCACATCGGGAACATCACAACATCCCTTTGCAACCCTCAGTAAGGCAAAGGCCCAAAGTTACAACTTTCCAAGGCAGCAAGTCACCCAAGCTCCACTACCGTACATACATACATGTATACTGGTATATATACATGTAATTTGGGAAATAAAGGCAAAAAGGCCTCATGTTCAAACGTTACAGGGCCAACACGTCTGTCAACTCATATGGGCTGTTCCATTGTTCAGGGTGTACAGGTACTCCATTTGTTTAACTTTTAGGTAAGGCTTTGTTCACGCTAATCCCAATATTAACAGTCAGTAAGTAAATAAAAAGAATGAATCACCCTACATGTAGTTCTAACCCAGGTTTCTCGTTTAATTTCCTAAATGCGTTCCCCGTACAATAAGTAGGATGAAATGACCAACTGGTAGTCACCAAGAGCTCTCAGATTGGAATGGCACGGCTGAAAGTTTAACGACAGTAATTTCAGTAAGTGCCGACACGTACCCAACATAAATTTGTTACCATTCGCCAAAGGACTCAGCTCTCCACATGAACAACATAAATTCTATCCATTTCTCAAAGAAATCATCGGACTTTGGATTTTTTTTACTATTTCGTTACACCAGTGTATAGAAATAATCCAACATCATTTTACATTATTAATATCTATGTAAGTGAAGCAAATTAGCTTAATTTCTACACAACCATGGTAACTGGAATCATGTACGTTTGTACCACTGCCATCCAATCCTTTTTACTCCATGAATTTACCTGTACTTAGATCTAATTATCCATCAGTGGAAAGCCTTTCCAGTGCGCTTGATGATGACTGTCATTTAACGAGTTAATGTAACGTCGTCTTGTGAATCCGTTCTATTTGGGTGCCTTTTAATTTTAAGAAAGCTCTGTTATTGTCACATCAATCACTGCCAAAAGTACTGATAGATATATTGCGCATCCTTATTGACAATGTCACATGACTGGTCCTGCACTGAGGATGAGTATGGGAGGTAAACACCTGCAGCTCATTTTAGTGCCAGTTGGGAGTATTCATAACGATGAGACACAAGCAAAAAGACTGCTGTGAAGCTAACGGTAGCACAGGATGGGAAGACTGGACTTGGAGTAAAATCCAAACCGCATTTTGGAATTGTGGCTCGTTTAGATGTCTCACTACACTGAGAGTGGTTTCCATGACTAGGAAGGTGTAGGAAACGTCAACTTACATAGTACCTAGAGCTCAACCAACGACAAAGCAAATCATCCAGTGACAGTCATTCAAAGTGATCATGGCCATACAACAGGGTGTTTGTGAAAGACCTCACTTCATACTGAAATTAAAATCTGTCTGAGAGGTTGAAAAAGTGGATGGATTTGCTAACTTCGATGTACCCCCATGCATGTACATCTACATGTGCATGCAGTCTTTGTTCACTGTTTAGAATCCATCAATGGCTGATGTGCTGACTAGAGTTCAGCGATGGCCGATGTCCTTCCTGATTCTTTTGGCCTGTCCCCTCTTCTCATTGCCCTGCGGACTTGTTTCATTATCTTCCTCACAATGCTGATCATTGCTGGCAATATTCTCTCTATCGCTGTGACGCGTCGTGTGACCAACTTAGCTGACAGCACCAAGGTTCTGATGATGACGATGGCCGCGTCCGACCTGTTCATTGGTCTGTTGTCATTTTTCTTTGGAGTCGCTTCGGCATTAGACAGATGGCCGTTTGGGACAGTTGGATGTACGCTAGCCTCACACTGTATTATCATTGTTATGTTTATGTCCGTATACTCCCTCATTGGTCTGAACGTTGACCGGTACATCGCTATCACTAGGCCTTACAAGTTTCCCGTGTGGTGCAGCAAACAACGTACTGTAATTTCTGTAGCCATTGTCTTACCTTTGGCCATATTTGGTTCAATGGTTCCACGTATAGCTGGACAACACATCGAGTACCATTCAGCCACTGCCACATGCTTCTACACCTACACCTCTGATACTATTAACATAGTGGTCATGCTTATAATCATGGCCATTCCAACACTAGTCATGATACCCATTTATTACCACATCATTCGAATCAGCCGACTACACGAACTGCGTGACAATCCAAACAATCAAGGTAACAATGTTCGAGACAATAAAGCTCTGAAAGTGTTCCTTATGGTCACCTTGACATTTGCCATTTGCTACTCGCCAAACTCGCTCCTGCGTGTGGTGGAAGTTTCAGCTAACTGGACCAGTCCAGGCTGGCTCCAGTTCCTAGCTGAGTGGCTGTTGGTTGCTAACAGTGCTTTCAACATCTTCATTTATTGTCTCTTGAACCAGGCTTACCGTCAGATGGCTAAACAAATTATTGGAGAGAAACTCCTGTGTTGTAAAAGAGCTGCTGTTGAGCCAGTAGACATCTAACAACAAACTGGCTGCATCATTTGACTAAACAGAACCATTACAGAACCAACCCTGAACGAGTTAAAGCATCGTGCAATGTCTGGCGGTTTTGAGACTACATGTACATGTATGTGTATACATGGCAGGTCATCGCATCAGCACATTTTGATTTGAAGCGAAGGATTAAGCCGCACTAAGCAAGACTACAATTCATCAAACACTTCTGCTTTCTATCCATTATTATGCAGAGTCTGAGAAATGACCATATCATCGGTGTTTCACGAAGTGACAAAAATCTGGAATATCAATGATTTTTCCATCTTGAGTTTTTTTCTGTCATTTTATTTCCTTTGACCCAAAGAACAAATTAGCAGAGTTTCAAAGCAAAATGTTGTTTACTTTCCTAGTAACTGTAAACAAACGAACAAAAAGCTTGGTCTCTACAGTATGTTTCTCTGTTTTTACTTAGTGACAAAAAGTCACATCGTTAGATAGACAAATAAAACAATATACTAAATTCCTGTAGAGTCTGTGTGTGTACACATGTGTGCAAACTATGTTGACATTAACACCTGTGCAAATGTAAGGAAATGTAACAATTTTATAAAGTGTGTATAATGCAATAGGAAAAAAATAACAACCTGTTTTCACGACTTTTATTAGTTTTTTATTGATGAATTACTCTTTAATTAAAACAAGGTATCAGCAACTAAGTATGGATTAGGATTTTTCAAGTCTTACATTTCATGACTTTGTAAAAAAATTTCCTCAATTTCCTCAAAACTGATTGAAAATGTGTATATTGAAAAGGGTAGTATTTTTATACGCGTTTATCTTGGATTGTCCATTTGGCAAGTTTTTGAGGTTTTTGTCCCTTCGTGATGTTATAATCACACAGAAGTGCCTCGGCTTGCTACTGAATGAACGAGCATGGTACTCCAAACACTGACCAATACATAGCCATAACAAGGACCAATGTGTTTCCTACGTAGTACACCATGGGACTCGTTAACATTCTTGTAAAACTACATGAGCATGTACTGCACAATTGCTGCGACCTTCGTGTAGTTCAATATTAGAGTTATAATGTATACTGGTATATGTATCATAGACGTATGTATGTATGTATTTGGAAATGTGCTCTGTATTACATGTACATATATGTGACTTCTACATTGTGCTGTTGTCGTAAGTGACTATGGTGTTCCCTTTTTTCTATTATATGTAGTCACAAAGCGCAGAAAGAGAATTCAAAGTAGTTGAGTCTAATCTGAAGCCTGTATATCTGCACAAAAAGTCAAAATGTGTGCAATTAATCAAATCTTCGTACATATACACGTACAGGTACATGTACACACATGTACACCTGTAATGATGTCATACATAATGCTAATTAATGGCTACAGTTACTGTACATAATGTACATGTATGTATGTGTGTATTAAATAAAGAAATAGAAACAGCTACAAAATAAATAAATAAACCCAAAATTAAATTATACCTTTCTTGAGATGAAATTCCAATTCCACATTCATACTGTATGTAGAAATGGAATAAAATATACAGATAAAATACATACTGTATATGTAATGTCTTATCCTCGATTCCTAACCATAATACAAAATATTAATCGTGATTATTTGTCACTTGAATATCATATTCTTAACGGTAATTTTTACTGCAAGTCCACAGCTTATAATAATCCTGTTTCAAACTGAAAAGGCCTTTGTATTCAGCATTCCAAGCTCTTGCAACTATCAAACTGGGCTCCTTGGAAGTAAGCCACAGCACAGTGTGAATGAAGACCCTCAACTTACATAAGTAGAGCTTTGCTACAGATGTACATAAAAAGCCAATTCTCATTTAAATACTAAACCAATACAAACATCAGAACCAAGCAGGCTTAAGTCTGTATCCCCATGGATGACAAATCAACTAAACCAATCTAGTCCATGCCAGACACTGAAGTGATGTTTTCCTTTTGGCTTTTACAATTTTTTTTTTCAAAACTAAGGATGAAGTACGAGTTTGGAACAAACACGGCAGCCTGGCTGCAGTATGGAAACCAAAATTAAAAATCAAAGATCATGCTACAGTAGTGGTTGTGAAAAAGTGGCAAAGTTTTGCTAAGTGCTCCTACATTGCACATGTATGTAACAGGAACACTACTTATCAATTCGTGCCCCTGGACAAGTGCAGTTTTCAACCTGTATACATATCGACAAACTGAGCTGAAATCTTCCACTAACACAACATGTACCCAGTATGCATACAAGACCATTTCATAAAGAATACGGCTGAGTCAATTCAAATAGGTCACTATTCGAATATTTGACTTTCAACTCTATCAAATATCTGAATATTCAGTTGTACCAACCGGCAGATTGTTGATGAAAAAACCACATATAAAATCAGTTGCAATTATGCACACAATTGTACACTGTACATGTAATCACTACGATGGCTTCTCACTTGCAGGACTATCTCCAGCCACAATTTAGCAAGATTTAACAGATGAACAATACTTCTTGCCCTGTCTGAAATATCGATTCCTTTTAAATTCTTTTATGAATAATTTAATTTTTAAATCGTAAGATATTAATTCAGTTGCTTTTTATTTGAATCTGCTTTAAACAAGCCTCCATAGTGCAATTTTTCACATTTTAAACAAAAGAGCATACTCCCTAGCTTTTCATGAATTTTGCATACGAATATTCAAATTTGAAAAATAATATTTGAATATTTGATAATCGATCAGATAATCGGATCTTCAGCACAGCCCCAATAAAGAAGTATGCCAAGAATTGAAACCAGTCAGTTTGTAAGACTGAATACTGGAATTTTCTCAGAATCTGCAAACAAATTGTAGTTGTATCATGTAAGCAAATGACTTTGAGAGGAACCTTGTAGAGTCATTCTATCTATTCACAATACATACATGTACATGTATGTGCATGCACACATGTACATGGACATTATACTCTGAAACAACTTCTCTGTACAATTACTAATGCCCATGACAACAGGCAGGAGGCAGACAAGAATTTACATCCGTTCCACCTACATGTACATGTAACACAAGGACCATTTTTTGCATACTTCTTGGGACAGTTTTGTTGCCCCAGTAAAACAGACCAATGACCAAAAACAGACAAGAAAGAGAGGAACTTGGAAGCTTAGCAAAGTACCAATACTTGTATTCCATTTAGATATATCAGGAGTAAACACGCTTTCCAACCGGTCTTTGCCAAATTGCTTGATTTTTCCGATACACGAGTAGAATTTGAATCGTGTACATAGTAATGTGACTCACACAAATATTGAACTCAATTGATGTCTGCATTTGTGTAAAAGATGTCTTGCAGGTACATGTATGTCCATGTACAGGTGTTTGTACAAATGCAAAATGAAAGGGAAAAATGTCTGCCGAGTCTCTCTGTGGGTACATGACCTCAGACACGTACATAGGTTGTGCTGTATCGACTTTTAAAAGAAATCTCTCACTGACACTGCCTCAAGGAAAAAACAGTGAAACGGTCGATGGCAGTTCCAATCAAATGGAAACTGACTCTGTAAAGGAGAGACACTCAAAGAGAAGTGCTGTATATGAGAGAAGAGAATGGAAGGAAAAAAAATCAATGTATCGGAGAGTGGACAAGGACAACGGCAGATTGCTATCCTGTTGATAGTTCTCAGCTTTGTTTGGCAAGCCAGGAGTATTGATTGAAAGTCAAAGAGGCCGTGACACGGCATAAGAAACATTGCAGAAAAATATCACGTTTAATGTTTTTAAAAAATGTGACTCAGTTCCTAAGCTTGCAAACTGATCAGAAAGTTAAAAACATCAAGGCTGATTGTGACAATTTTAATCTTTTTTATGACCTTACCAAGACAACTCTCAAAATAATCACAGCAGAAAAAGAGATTCATGAGATTTTTAACAAATAAACATGCGGGTTGACAGACTAAAGAGTTCAAACAAAAGATGTAACATGTTTTAAGAATTCTTGAGGGAAGTATGTTTAGTAAAGTTACATACAACTTCAATCCATATTACAAAAACGTTAATGTTAATTGTTATGGCTTGCAACTGCGAAAAATTATGGAAGGTTACATTGTCATTAAAAATGAAGTTTGTTTAAGATCTGAAATACACTGTAGCCCTGTCATTAAAAATCCTAAAACTTATAAGAATTTTGTTTCACTACATTTTCATATATATTTGAGTAAATGTAGCTAGCTAAAGACATCGCACCATTTTATTTTTAAAACAGGTTATTTTCTGAAATGATTTGTTAGTAATAATATTGAGTTTATTGAAAAATTTAAACACAGGATGAGCTTGAAATGCACATCACATAGCCTCATAGGCCTAGGAGGCCTAAATGACGAATAGCCGCTGCTTTAATTAAGTCACGGTGTACTGGCCTAACTAAACTACTTCAATTAACCAATCATTCAAGCACAGAGCAAGGACGATTTAAGTAAGCAACAACCCTCCCTGTCAGTCAGAGGTAGTAGTCAGGTACGTCGTGCATGCAAACATAATCGCCCGTACGAATGCAGCCAGCTGCCGGCCGGTGCGATGTGACGTCCACTGCGAGTAGTACCGCCTACGATGTTGACCGTGCCAATCAAGAGGTTTAAAATCAAACATTACGCAGTAAAATCAAATAACCTTGATAACATACCGCTCTTGAAGTCTCCCTGATCTCGCATGGTGGATCTCAGCTCACGAAATCATGTTGGAGTTATATTTGGGGGCTAGTCACTCTCGATCTCCCCTCGTCGTTAAGGTCAAATTTTCGCCGTTTGCGTAGCTGCACTAGTCTTTGATGCGGATGCAATTTTCCAAATCACGGCTTCTTTGGCAAACGGCTGCATCGTGTATATTCAAACCACTGATAGGTCCACATATTCAATATAAACGAAATTCATCCCATGCTTGAGTCAATTAAATATATTTGCTAATTTTCAGCAAAAATTATATTTTTATTGAGCAACAAAGTTCCAAAGTTGGAATAAATTGAAGCCAAAACCGATACGAGACCAAAATATAAAAACCCTGTCAGACGACGCTAGCGCTAGCGCGCTGCTGATCAGAAAGACGAAGAGGGCGCCCTTCCCTTAAAAAATCTAGCGCGGCGGTAACTTCAAATCGACATGAATTGAGCCAGGTTTCGTTAGCAATTTTATCATAATCTGACGTTAAAATGATCTGAGGCAGGCTCTTTCCTAGTCTCTAATTGAATATAAGGAAAAAGGGATGGAGAAGGAGAATTTTTTCACCAAACTTCGCCGTGTGGCAACGTCTACAGAAAGCGAAACGACAAGATTGAAGATGTGCATGGAGAAACCAGCTGCGGTTAGAACAGCTTCAAGTTCAAATTATCACCATGGACAAGAAGGATCGCTGGCCAGCTCAAGGCTTGTATTGAAGGAGATGCAGTTTGATGCACAGAAAATGAAGGTATCGAAAGAATATACTTTTGGTTCCCAAAAGCAGAAAGAATGATGTGTCCAGCTCCCACTTTTTCATCATTTCATGTTGTTTTACCATCTGACCATGATCAACACATCATGATGTGGCATGATGTCTGGATACCCAGAGAGGGTGTTCTTTCATCCTTCAAAAAACATTTTTCCATATCTATTAATATCTCTAAAAGACTAGACTAGACTGGTCAAGCCTTGAAGATAACCGGAGGGTCGTTAGATTATCTCCGATGTGTCGAATTAGCCACAATTTAGTTGATATAAAGTGGGAAGATCACCTGTGTAAACCCTCTAGAACTTAGAAGCACCAGACGACACCATTGCTTATCATTTATACAAATAGCAGCAAAATCAACTACTTATGCAGACAGCTTTTTTCCCTGGACAATCCCTCACTGGAATAGCTTGCCACACAATATTCTGGACATAGATAAGTATGACTCCTTCAAATTCGCACTAAGAGATCATTTTCAGTGATTTCATAGCCCACCCAGCACCAGGTCTTTAGGTCATCTTTGATGTGGTGCGGATACCTGTTTTATCAGAGTCAAGAATCCAGATCCAGAATCCATTCATAAGCCATGTAAGCCAATTTTGGACTGAAAAAAATCTCCATTCCAGTTTTGTTGGTTAGGGGGCTTAGTCGAGCCCCCTTTCTCTTGAAGTTGAGTCAGGATGTACCATTCTTTCTGAAGGGATTATATTAGCAATAGCAGACCTAATTTAAAACTCCTGCACTTTGCCTACCTTCATGAACTTACAGTAGTTGTCATGGTTGTGGTATGTTTGGGGGAAAAATAGGAAAAGCTTTACTTTATACCCGCTTTCCCATCCTTTGACCTTTTTTCTTTAAAGGAAAAAATACTAGAGGCCTAGCCCGCTGTTCTCTTGTCTTTTCCTTCACTTGGGTAGACCCAAGGTATAGTGAAAAATTGCATGCATGTGTGCCTTTTCTTGAGCAGGAGAAAGTCAACCAGCAGTTGAAAGAACTCAGTACTTCATCAGACTCATTTGAGGAGATTGTAGATGCCTGTCAGGGTCTGTGTGAGGTCACACAACAGCAGCTGACCGATCTTGAGACGCACCTGGCACAATATGGATATAAGAAGTACCACAGGAAGGAGACACAACATGTGCAACAAGGTTATTACTTCCTGTGCTTCAGTGACCCCCTCTCCCTTAAGTTGACCTCTCACAGGGACATAGCCATTAAAATTGTACGGTACCCTACCTGTGTGTTCCAAATGTGAAAAAGAAACAAACCATTTGCCTTTGCTTCACTTATCCTCTTTGAGGCTGTTAGGCACATAAGGCTGTTAAACTCTGCTTCCACTTTTGCCTCCCTTGTGCACATTGCCTTCCCCAATCCAAGTCATTTCTCCACCTTAGTTTCTGTCCTTTACTACAGTCCTCCTCATGGTTGTTTTTTGTCTGCCAACTTTTCTCTTTCCGGCTGCCATGTCAAGGCAGTCATACTGGATTGATGCTTGGCTTTCCTCAGAATACAAACAATCCAGTTCCTTCTTTTGACCTGTTCACTTGCAGTTTAGGTGTAATTGTTGAGTTCATCCAGTGAAATTATATTTGGCAAAGAAATTGTGAACCCTTCTTCACACGCTGGTACTGGAAGGAATCTAACCCAGATTCATCACCTTTGTTCATTACTGAAGTTTGCAACTTGCAGTTAACTATAATTCTATAAAATGTGTCCTGTATTTCTCTTATCCTTTGCTTGTGTACATGAATCACTTTGTGAAATGTTATGTTAATTTCCTGTGAATAAATTAAATATCTCCTTTCTTTTTTTCTAAAATTGAAGGCAAAACGCAGAAACAAGACAAGGAGAATACTGCACCTGAAACTCACCCAGAAACAGTCAAGGACACTTCCAGCACTGAAGAAAAGATGTATCCTTTTGGATAGAGAAAGTGTCACTTGAGCTTGTAGTTAATTGTATTTTTATTTTGAGAGATAAACAATAGTTTCTCCATATGAAACGTTGGTATTGTTGTATGCTACTTTAGAAGTTACATGTACTTCCTGAGCTCAGATAATCTTAGCCCCTCCACACCAACCAAAGTCCCTTCCTCAGCTCCCCCTGTAGACCCCAACAAGACACCTCAACTGGCAGATTTTGGCATCAGTCAATGGACAATTGACCGACTGGCTCATGTGGGCTTGAATGGCACACCACAAGACTTGAAGACGGGGGGTTTTCCTGGCTCTCAGTACGGAAGGTAGGACAAGGCTCAAATTTGCGAGGAATTCCCACCACATTATTTCCATGGAGGGGTTTGGGAAAAACTGCTTACTAAAAGAAGAAAAATTTGTCTTTTTTTTGCTCACCTTATAGTGTTACCTCAGCCATACCTAGCCATGTCTACCCATCAACCCCCCAGCAGCAATCCCAGAAGCCGTGGCAACGTACCCCCTTCACAAATCGGACCATCCTTGTCACCCCTGGCTTGTTTGGTGATCAGACCATTCCCACCGAGACACCCCAACAATTCATTGGTGAGTTAACCTGGACCTTTTTGTTCAAGTGGGTGAAATGATCGTTCCAATTATGCTGGAGTCAAACAGATCACTGCAGCAATGTTTATGTCAGTGTTGGTGTTCAGAAATAGTTTTTTGTAGAATGTACGTCACAAACTGGATGAATATCATTGACTTTTTGTGGTTTGAATATCATTGACTTTTTGTGGTTTCACAGTGAGTAAAATCTCTCATGAATAATAAGTGGATAAATAGGATTGACGTGTAGTCATAAAACCCTTCTAACATTCAAGATTTGTGTTTTGTAGTTTTGAAGACGTCAAATTTGTAAGTGTGGGAACAATCATCGAAAAACTGGATCATTAATCCTGAATTGGTTTTGTTTTTATCCAGATTCAAAGTCTTATCTCCTGGACTCCCCAGTCCCACCAGTGCTGATGTCAACGCAGAAGAGCTGGCCCATAACCTCTGACCTCAGGGTCACAAGTCGACGGAATAATGATGTGATTAGTCCTGAGCCAGAGCCTCCAACTGTCACAATGTGGGCTGAGGTAACATTCAAGGACGAGAAACAGAAATTTAAAGTGACTTTGTTTTAACTGAGGCAGTTTTGACATAGTTTCTATTTTTATCATAATTTTCAGTGATGTTTTTGTTCCCAGCATATCCCTCTTCCAGCACCCCCGACGCAGCTGCACGTCCCTCCTAATTCGGCAGACACAACACCCCCCATGCCCCTGTGTCTAGCATCCCAGGCCACCCAGGCTCCAATGCCAGCAGAGCCTGCTTGCCTGGTGGACAGGTTCACCAGTGAGCCCTTGCTTCCCTGTGAGCCGGTACAGCTGTACCATCAGTTCTCCACCAACAAGATGCCAACAGAGCCCATTCAGCTCACAGAGAAGTTTGCCCGTCCGTCAGAGCCTCCGGCCGAGCCAGTGCAACTTGCAGAAAGGTTTGGGTCGGAATTCCACCTCCCACAAGAACCCCAGGTTCTAAATGGTAAGGGCCACATCCACATTACTCTCAACCTTGACAGAATGACACAAGTTTCTTACCCTACCACCCACCAGTTAATCCAGGTCAGATTAGAACCAGTCAACAAGCTCTTGCAATCTTAGCATATAGCACATATTCCATTAAGTAAGGGGCAAGCTCAAGTGACATCAGTTTGTGGACCACTGGTCTATTTTCCCTGGTAACCTGTGCACAAAATAATATTCTGGGTACCAGGCAAAAACAAACCAGTGTTGACAAATGGTGGTCACTCGAATTTAAAAGTTGAAGTGTAGCCTAGTATTCTGCCACAAGTCGTTGGACAGCACCAAATGCAGAGTATTATCCAACTCTATCAAGAATAATGAGACCTGAATCATTTTGTCAAATTCCAAGGAAGGAATGAGTAACAACTATTAATTTAAATGTCAACTTTTTGGATCTGTCTGTTCGTAACTCGTAACTGACTTGAGAGAGGAAACTCTTCTTTTTTCTCAATCCTCAAAAAAAATTATTTTTTCTGGAGGCTCCTTGTTACCAGCTGGCTCAGGCGGTGGTCAACCTTCACAACCGGCTACTCCCAAGGGTCATCAACGACTGGCCACACTAGCAATGGAACATGAGATGCCACAGACACCTGAACTGACTGTGACACACCAAAGGTAACATCCAGACAGACAAATGTTGGTTTTCTGACCAAATTGGCTCATGGTCAGTAAATTGTCACAGACATATAAACTCACTGCTACAAATGCATGAAATGATTCTTTGCATACCATTTTCCATTGTATCTGAAAGGTTCCTTGAAATCAAGCCAACTTCCGGAGAACCGGTCTCTCAACCCCCTAGGGTATCAGCGGATAGCATTCCATTCCCCACACTAAGTAACAGTCATGATGACGTGCCCAAGCCACCTGTCCTACAGAGTATGTACTCTGAAAACCAAGTAACGAAGGCTGGATTGGAAGCTCAGCAAACTTCAGTTGCGAATGGGTAAGGGTAACATTGGACACAAGCAGTATTTGTGTGATTCATGAATTCAGGGAAATTTTGTATCCTTCATTGTCATGGTTATTTATTGCCACGAGAGAGCAAAGTGTAAATGAAATGAGACAGATGTTGCTGTTAGTCTCCCAAATAACAGGCAATAGAGGGTTGTCATAGCTGCCATCTTGCAGGCCAGGGCTATTGTTTCACATGGTATGCACCAAGGAGGTTTCCCTGTGGAACAAAAGAACTGCCTTGCAAAATGGCTACCACGCAAAGCCTCTATGCCTCCATTTCCTCAGCAAAGTTTCCTCTCTTTTTCTGTTATTTCTTTTTTTTGATTCAGCTCCAAATACTCAGTTACTCCCGTGACAGATGCAGAGTTTGGACAAGTCGCTGATTATCTCCAGCGTCTGTTTCCCCTGGATGTCATCAACCAGAAGGTAGCCGACATCAATGCCATGCTGGCCCAGAACAAAGGTAATTAGAAACTAAATACACGTATATTGGAAACAGATCATAGCCTCCAAAAAAAAATGCTCCCGAGCACCCCAGCAAATATTCCCCTGTAGCATTCATGTCTGTTGTCTGGTACAGAGAAAAATCATACCAGAGCATATAGACCAGACAGGCTGCTCACACAAATGCCGAACACTTTACCCCCAGAATCTTTCATATTTCTTTGCTGGGAAATGTTAGAGTCCTCCGCATCTAACAGTACAGCAGCTTGACAATTTGAAAAAAAAAAATGATCAGCATAGGCCGCTTGTAAATGTGAAAAGGCATATTTGAGCAATGGATGCTGGTCACTTTTCCCTAGTAACCTGTAAACAAAGTTCATCCTGGGTACCAGGTAAATCACAAGCCATTTACAAATGATCATTGCTTAAGCTAGCCCTTACGAGCCGGAGTTTGTCGGAATCCATCAAAATTTGGGGTTGGTCGTGTCAGGGATTAAATCATGGCCAGGCATTATTGTTTTTTTTCTTTCCCTTTGTTATGCATGCAACTTACCAGGTGTCAGCTTCCTAAACGAGGCAGATATGCAGGGGCTCCAGCTGGGCTCCAAGACCAGGGCTTTCTCCCTACTGCTGGCTAAACTCAGGCGGCTCAGTATGGGCAAGAAACCAGACAGTGGGGAAATGGTCTTCTACGTCATCAACTGACCGCTCATCAGTGGTACATCCTATTTGTTTGTTTGTTTTTATCGTAATGTACCCCTAGGCATGTGACTGGATTAGATTTTTTTCTAGGCCCAAATTCATGGTGCTGCTTATCGCAGAATTTCGCGATTAAGATCTCCATTCTGCTCCGACCAAATTCTGTTGCCAAACGTTTAAGCACAGAATTCTCATTTAAAGGATGTAAGCATGCGCACAAGCCATAATTCCTCACTAACCCGTGAAATATGTTCACCCTAAGCACAGAATTTGCTTCTATGGTAAGCAGTCCCATAAAATTGGGCCCTGATCAGGACAGCCTTCTGTGCCAATATACATATATGCCAGAGCTGTTTATAGTGAAAGTTGCGACATAACGGTAACCATAATTGGCACCAAAGTGGTGGATTATGCATCAGTTGACACGGACAATTAGCACACAATAGCCGCTAGCTGTACTGGGGCCAATTTCATAGAACTGCTTAAGAAAAAACCTTGCTTAAAAACAAAGGTTACCATTCCAAAACAACATACATCGCATGGAGTTTTGGTTGGTAACCTGATTTGTCAAACAGGGTTTTTTTCACGCTCAAGCAAATTTTGTGCTTAAGCAGCTCTATGCACTCATAATGAACAGCCATTTTGGTTCCAAAGTCTGATTTTGGTCCGACAAATGTTGCCATGTTGTATATTGCTGAAGTTCACTAACTGTGTATACTTGGACTGTGTATATTATTTTTATTAAATACATAGGCTGCATCCGAATCTCTTGTCTAGAGCTAGGTCTAGGTCTTTGCTCCATTGGAAATGCATGGAGACACACAGACAATAGACCTAGCTGTAGCTCTGGAAAGCCTGTTTCGGACACGGCCTTAGCTTGTTTTCAGAAAATCAGACAGAAAAATCCGAAAGCTCAAAAATTATAAGGTGACATGTAAATTTAATCGCCAATTCACACAAATTTGAAGCTTACGATGTCTGAAGTAGATTTCATACTGATTTTACTTCTATGTATACATATTACTTTATGAAATTTGTCATTGGATCTTTGGATGTCAAACAGTTTCTGTCTTGTGTAAAATGGAAACATATCCTAGATAAACTCTAAATGGAAAGAAACCAAAGCATTTCAAATATACACAACTACAAAAATCATTTCTTACAAATTTTCTGTGAAAAATTTCTGGGGGGGGGGGGAATACAACTTTTCGTGACATTTTGAGGACCCGGCCAGCCGCAATCAATGCCAAACTGGGAAGTGCTGGTTCAAAAGTGATGCATATTCGTGCATTGGGAAAGGGTCGGAAATGTTTGGAATTTGGTTGTCGATTGGTAAAGTGTCGAGGTAGATACTGTCTTCGTTTAACCCTAACCCCCTCGGCTTGGTGCTTTCCTCAATCCTTCAAAATCCTCTGGCAATTCCTTTCATTGTGTTGAGGCAGGCAATGGTATCTCGGAGCAGTGTGGATGATTTCTATGTAATCTAGATCTAAATTTATGTGTGCATGATCACCCACAACCTTGGCCCAGTGCATCCTTCGCAATCACCCGCCCTTTTGGCTATTTTCATTCAGAGGATTCGAGGATTGTTAGGGTTAAGGGAATTTAAGACTCGAGGTAGCACCAAGCATTTGCCTTGCCAAATTTCCACATCACTGTCTCCCCGTCTACACACACAAGTTCCAACATCCTTGTTCACCAGTAATTACAGTATTCCATCAAATAGTCCTTCAGAGAAGGAAAGACCTTGTGGGAAGTGCGAATTGTCCCAATCTAATCCCATTATCCTGACACAGCCTTCACCATTTTCAACAAGGCATCCTTAGCCTCAGATTGAGGAAATCCACTGATTGCAAGGCGGGCAGACTCTGCGTAGCCCAGACAGAGTTCCTGAGACTTTGCAATCGCTGATCCCGAACAGACTTCCCGATGAAGCTGAAACAGAATAATAAAAAGAGAGATGAACTGATCATAAAAGTCATCAAAATGCTCAAGATTATACATGTAAATAAATTATACAAGACTTGTAATACTTTTTATTTCTGGTTCCACTTTCCACTTCAAAATTTAAGGGGCACTTCTGTAATATACAAATTTAGGTAGAGATTATTAAAATCTGCACTGCTACAGAATATGTCATTGAGTCTAACCTTTTTCATGTCAAATTTAGTCTGGTTTCTGAGTCTGTCTTGACTCCCGCTGCCTTCAAGGTGCAACAGAACAGGGGCAGATGTCAGACTAAATGATGTTGGGCTGCTGTTGGACGTTGTAAATAACAGCAGCTCGTGATGGAGCTGAATTTGCAAAAAGACAAAATTTTAAGCAAAAATTAAATTTTACAACCAGAAGATTCGGTTTGGACTGTGTTTGAAGTGGCCAGAAGCAACACATAAATCAACTGATCAGAACAGAAATCCCCCCCACACATAAACATTCTCAAAAAGTTCCATGCGAGGCTCTGTCAAAAAAGCTACTCTCTTTGACAGCTGTCCACCATGGTAAAACCAATACTTGAACTCTAACAAGTATGATTCAGACACTGCTTGTGTTGCAAATTCCTCACCTGCTGAGCGAGGGCAATGTTTCTGCCAAACTCTGAAACACATGCCTGCATCTCCTCTTCATGCCCTGCTAAATTCAGTGCTGCCCGGCAGCTCTTAGCGATGAGACTACCTGAAGACAGGAACACATACTGGGCCCAGTCGGCCATGCCCAGGTTAGAAAGGGGCACCTGACCCCACTCCTTGGCTCCTGGCTCCTCTTCCGAGAAGATAGTGAAGGCAGCCTCTGACAGGTCAGAGATGGCTTGGGAGATGAGGTCCACCACGTAGGTATTTCGTAGCTGAGCCAGTCCCAGGCAGGCACTGGCTAGTAAGAAGTCTCCGCTCAGCACTGAGATCTTGTTGCCGAACTCCATGACCCTACGGGGGCCATCGGAAGGGAGGAGGTCCTGGATGTTGACCACGCCTTTGTGAACTAAGAATGCCGTGTGGATCATCTCTGCAATTTCTGCAAGTGTCCTTTGACTAGAGAAGGGTGAAAGTAATCAGGAAGAAAAATCATCCAAAATGTTAGAAAACAGACTACGATAACATGATTTACAAAATTGAGCTAGTTTTTCTGTTATCTGTTGACCATATCCCATCTTATTCTTCCACAATTTTTCTGCTTTTGCGCTCACAGTTTAGTCAGATGCATTGTTACATAATCACAAAATCTCTTATAGCTGGGCCACATGGCACATATCATCACACCATGCCATGTGTAATGCTCAGCACTGTGATGTTTAAGATCTCCTGATGATTCTCCAATGCTACGATGTACTACAGCACTGTAGTCCCCTTGTAAAACCATGGAGAAAGGACACAGAGGGAGTTACAACTCTGGCACTTCAAAGTGCTTGATGATCATCACTGCCTGGTCAGACAAACAATAGTAACCACTCCAAACATGCCCAATGGCTACCTGAAGCCCAGCTGGACAAATGAGGCTAGTAATATCTTACCGAAAAATCCCTAACGTTAGACCTACTTTTGTCATCGTGAATGAACTTTATCATCTTAAGAAACTGTTCCATTCTCCATGCAATGTTTGTCATTTTTATTTCTGTCCCTCCCAAACATCAGGTTTCAAGACGTGGTACAAATTTGGCTAAGACTAGCCAACAAGTTGACCACCACTGGAAAGCTGAGTTCATAATGAACAAAATACGCTATGTCATAACAGGAGTGACCATGAGATCTCATAAGAAACACTTTCATATAAATGACGTAATGATTCAAATAAAACATAAAATCTTATAAGCAACTTGACTATTTATTCCCAAAATAACTCCAGAAGAGAGTGTCTGATAAGGGCACACAAGTCACATGACCTAACACAAGGAACTGCGCAAGCATTAAATTTGATGTAAGATCATATCAAGCACCAATGACGACATGAATATTGGATGGGCAGTTCAAAACTCCTTCTGTGTCCTTCCTCCATGGTAAAACTTACCTTGGATAAATGCCTCGAACCATACCCTGTCTGTTTCTGCTCTGTGGGGAAGGCCAAGCAGCTTTGGAGATCAGTAAAATTATCAAGCCTCGTGTTTGGATATTGTGCTTGCCATCATAGACCAAGTTCCTACACAAGGAGAGATGATGCATCAAAAGTTCTATTGAAAACTGTGGCAAGGAAGCTTATTGCTGAATGCAGAAAATTGAAGGTGATGCATGCAACATGAAGAGCGTAACATTATTGATGAAGGTGGTGATGAAATAAGGCAGAAGGTGGTGCTATGGACTGAAATTGTTTATGGTGGCAATGATAATAAAGTTGAGTTTGTTGTTAACTGTAGTATAAATAATTGGATGTTAGGAAAAGCAAATAAGCATGATTTATAATTACCTTGCTGTTTTCACCAAAGGGTGTTTAGTGCCGACAAGTTTGCGTACTTGCATGGCAACATTTGACAATTCGTCACTCAACAGACAGCGCAGGCTGAGGAAGGAGGTAGGGTACCCGACTATCTTCTCTGCCTCGGCAATAGCACGGGCCCACGCAGATTGATCTGAAAAACCAAACAGGCTCAGGCCACGAGACGGGGCACTAGCCGCAACTTGTGGAACCTGTAATTGGAGGACACAGCTCGGCCGACTGCCTGAAGCACCACCTTGAGTTCTGCAGTTGTAAGTGTTTGTCATCAGAGCACTAACACCAAGGCATCTCTTGTTAGTTACAAAATGAGAGCCAGCCAGAAAGCCATTGCATAGCATTTGATTGCCACAAACCTGATCTAATCTCCTTTTGAAAATCTGTTGCTGCTCTGCAGATGATGTTGATATCCAAGAACATGCATAGGCGGGTTCTAGAGACGCAGATATGGGCCTTGTGGATTTTAGCGATCCACTTTTTCTTTGGAGATGTGAAAATGTGCCTGCCCGTATTCCAGTCTGGAGTGGTCTAACAGTCAGCCTGTTAAAGCCAGTTCGTTGGAAGAGCAAAGTTGCATTTTTAAGTGACACAACATTCGGTTTTAAATGTCTGTGATTGCCTTGATGAAGAAAACACAGTAATCTCCTCATTACAGTGTCTCGACAGGATGCCATGATATTCATGAGATCGTAAGCAAAAACCAGATGATCATGGACTGGTCAGGACAATGTGCTGTCTGGAGGTAGTTGGTGATTCCTTCCTGCAGCTAAAATGAAGAAGCATTTGACTGTGCTGAGATGACCATTTAATATCACATCACAAAGGGTGCGGGGGTATTTAGTAGTTTCAACATAGCATTTATGGAATTGGGATACAAGGCGCTTGTGAACGACATTTCGAGCTGTCTTCGCCAGGTAAAAATGTGAGAAAACTGTTGAAAAAAAGGAGGACTTTCATACCCTGGACGCTAGTCACAATGCAATGTAGACGTCGTCTAACCTGGGCTAAACCGATACCATACATGCCATATGCCTTGTGCAGATGCGCCTAGCTTAGAAAGCCCATGGCCATGGAGGGGTTCCTTCCTCCATGGAAAGCCCTACTTCTTGAGACTTGAAGGCAGACTCTGAGACTGTAATGCAATGCACCACCGTGACTGATGTCCCCATTCCCCCTAAAAAATCACAGCAACAAGAAGTTGAACTTCTAGTTCTTCTGCCATGCCTGCAATTCTGTTCTGGACACATCAAATGCACCCACTGCAGGCAATCCCTCTAATCTAAGTTAGTGATTAAGTAATCATGCATGGTATAGGAGTACTGGTGGACGTTATTTTAAAGTCAGAAAACATACTTATGTTTTGATGGACTTACCCAATCAGCTGGAAATGGGAGCCGGCAACAAAAAATATTGGACTTGATAATCCTCTATTCACGTTGATCCATGATCTGGAGAACAGGCCTGTGTCATGTGTAATTCGCGCCGATGTCATTATCACGTTCACGCCATGCTGCCATATCTATACCACGATACGACCATCCTATTAAGGCCTTGCGCTCGGCACATAGTACATACGCATCGTTATTTTGAAAGGACGCCCTCACTTTTATTTCTCCACGCTTCAGCCAAGGGTGCTCGTGCACTATTTCCAGTGATAATTTCTGCTGAGCACATTAATAACAACCGTTTCTTTAGAAAAAGGAGTTTGTTTGGCCGAAAGAATGGTTGGATTGTGTAAATGTAGACCAGTATCAATACTTTTAGGGAGAGGGGTTCCATCAATTGCAGAGTTGATAAAAATTGCAAAAAAATTGTCGAGGTGTTGGGAACTACATGTAGCTATCACTTTTTGGAGGCGATGAGTTTTGGGTTAAATTAATGTCATTGGCTAACCCAGCAAAATCGAAAAGAAATGGAAAGATTAAGGACCAGACAAAAATCTATTGTTTGCTCGAGAAACTCGTGAAGTTTCGGCTTGAGCATGTTCGTTGGTTATTAACTTTGTTTTTAAATTCAATGGGACATTAACACAGGTGCGCCAATGGTTGCGTAGTTCTGCGCAAAATTAACCAATCACCAGTAACAGTCTGATACGGTCTCGCTTCGGTGTTCTAGCACACGTTACGAATACCAGGATTCAGACTGTCATCTTCTTATAAAGTTTAGTCCATTGTAATAGGGGGTGTCGGATTACGTGTCCCTTAAAGGTTATACCTTTATTTTTCTCATTTCACATAGTTTAGGAAATATTGATAACATTTTAGGAATACAGATTTAACTGAGAACTCGGTGCAGAGATACCTCTATCATATCCTAGAACTTATGCACTTTTTGCATTTTTGATGTGCTATCAAGCTTTCCATCCCGACACCAAATCACCGCCTGCACTATATATACATCGTCGGTCGACATGCATTTCCCTCTTGCAAAATTAAATTATCGTCTGCGCTGCTAGTAGTCTTGGTTTCAAGACGTTAGTGCTTGATAGCGGACACCGTGCATAGTGCGCCCCCAACGACTCATAATTAGACTGTGCGCCAGGTCGCAGAGTTAGTAAAAACTAGTTGTGCGAGGGCGCTCTTCAAGCGAAGTAAAACAGCTATCGATCACTGACGTCTTGGGTTAAGACTACGCTGCAAGCTGTTGCATACTCACCTATCCATATCCATATGTCCATCTACATCATGTGCGCTGCTCTACCATGACTTCTGGTACTGCTGCGTCAAGTGAGTTTTGTGATTTGTTTGTCATTGACGGTGTTAGAAACATACTGCATTGTTTATTGCTTAATATTCTTTTCCTTCACTTACTTATCATGCTTAACGTTGGGGGTCATCCTTGGCCAGGTTGGACGTTGTCTTTATTTCATTAGGCCCTACGACTGACCTAACGGAACTAACGGGGTACGGTCAGGGAGTCCACCTGGGCTAGGGGTCATCCATTGTTGTCATCATTTTCACCAGCGCACTCTTTTTCCTGGCAACCCTCCCCCTACATGCCCTAAAAGAGTACAAAATGAATAAAGAAAAAATGATGATTTCTCTTTGGTGCCTAACATGCCAAAGGACCCATTCTATTTCACAGTGTATGGCTGTTAAAGTGCAGTAGATGACTATGGCAGGAGGAAAACCATTGTAAATGACAGGCCTCGACACTTGCGGTTTTCCGATTGCCCGGGACAAATTCCTCTTTCAGTTCGGGCAAGTAATAATTAAGGACAATTTGCCCGATGGACAGGTACTTTTTCTCTTAGAAAAAAAGTGTCCATTTTTTTTGTCCAAGAATAGCAGTCAGAAAATTTACCTTTTAATTGATTTGTTTTCCTTTTCACAAAAACGTATAAAAAGTGGTAAAAGTATATAGTTACAATGATCTTCTGTATTGTTATGTACATGTACAAATTTGCATGTATTGATGCGCGCTGTGCGTTTAGCAGGGCACGTTTTCACACAAAGGAAAATGCGTACATACAGTAAATAACGATGACAAATTAGCGAATGTAGTCTGGTTTCTTGACCTGGAAGGAGATTCATTTTGATGAATCCAAAATCCCTGAGTCTGGTAACCAGGTGAGAAGGAAAATGGCATGATTTGACAGAGCAATTGTCTTTTGCCAAACTCGGGTTAGAAATTTGTGGTTTTCTTGCTTAAATATTGTCAAAATTTACCTAAACTAGGCCTATCAGGATTGATTAATGGTTCCTTATGGTCTAAATGTTTGTTAGTTTGAGAAAGTGGACTTTGTTTCCTTATAGCAACAGGACGCTAAAGGTTATGAACACTGCATTAACAGGACTAACATTAACCTTTTGGGCTTGGCACGAGGTCCCAATGACAGTAGACCCCTAAGTTCAGAAAGGCACCTGCATTTCCAAGAAAAAGTGATGTTAGATTTGGAAGTACATGTACATGTACATGTTGGAAACTCAACTCTGGGTGCAGTGTGAGCAAAATCTCCCTTGCATCATTGGCCATGGCTCTGTCAGCTGATCAGTATCTGTGAGCTTGGTTTTCCAACTTTTCATGGCTTCCCAAGTCTTCTGTGTTGATGACCGTGGCATAATATGTTAGTTTGTCCACCACTGATTGGCAAAATACTGTGATTTAGTGAAACTTTATGTGAGAGTACTTCTATTAATGTTAGAGGAATTACTTGCATCTAGAATTTCAATTTGGGCCTTGCACAAAAGTCTCAGGAAAAAGCACTTCTCTTTAAAATTTGATGGCAGTGGTTTTTTGACCAAACGAAGAACAATTTCAAAAATCTGACTTCTTATGAACACCCAGCCAACAGCTTGATTTAAAATTTCATCAGATTTTGGAGTGAAGTTTCTCCTGGAAATTACATTGAAAAATATTCGTCAGTGCCATCAAACATCCAGGAACTGTGTACTTCTGTGCAGTGAACGTGCAGCATGAAGGATTTTACCTCTTTGCCATGCCATACATGTATGGCTGCGCCTTATTCAGGCCAATGTGATGTCATTCCAACCACAAGGTTGCAAAATTTCCTTAACATTTTTCTTTACAAAGGTAATATAAATAAATATGTAAATTCCCAGTCGGCATTTCCTGACATGAATTTTTAAAAATATTTTTACTTCTTTGGTAAAGGAGCTTATCACAATACTGTAATTATAGAAAAAAAGATAATCCAATATTCCACATTTCCACCAAAAACTGGATCATTAACAAACTATTCTCGGAGCCAGTATTATTTTTTTGTGCATTCCTTCTTTTTTATTCAGCAATCTGAAAACAATCTCCAACAATACCATTTCATTATTATTGTACATGTTCTCCCGGAAACAGAAACATGAAATTAGGGATTGATTTAAGCATTACATGTACATTTGCTTCACTTGTGACCATCAGCCGAAATTTTCATCAAATGATTTGCTTTTTACAGAGCATCTACGTGAAACTTTGCTTTGGATCAAATGAAACTGAATACCATAATGAAGAACATATTTGTACAACTTCAATTTCGAATTTAACTTCTTGCACAATTGCTTAATGGTCTTTAATTTAAAAAATTTAACAGGTTTTCAGAACTACCCCAAAATGTGCCTCAAAACCTCCTGATGAATAGAAACCCTGTTGAAAGATAGAGCGCCCTACGTAAACATCACTTGCCACCCTCTGCACAAACCCAATGAGACTGTTCTAAAAATTGTAGTTCCTAAGAAGTAAATTTGACATTTTAGGACTTGTTATCACTTTCTGATGACAGATTTACCTTTGAGTGATGTCTGTGTACATAACTCTTTCCAACCCTTTTTCTACCAGATTCCGCTGTTCATTACTTCTGCCTTCCACACTGTATTTACTGGACTGTACTACTCCAACTGATTATATTTTTTATTACATGTAATTTCAGTGTGATTATAAGATTATAATACGGAAGATACACATATTGGGGCTGTTTGTTAGTCAAAATCGTTTTAAATTCTGGTTATTTAAACTGGCCACAGAATTCGGAAGTTAGATAACAAGAATCAGGTTCCAAGATGTAAATGTAGCAAATGACTGGCTACTAATTTTGGACAGGTGGTTATTGATCACTGATTTAGCCAGAGAAATAAGATCATGATTACATGTACACTTCATTTATACCGTAGGTGATTCTGGGTTGATCTTGAAGCAGTAGCTAGTTTCTCAGCCCCTTGGTTTATAAAATACAGTCCAAAACCAGAGGTCTAGGATAACCCCAAAAAGCTGTAACATGTACCTGTATGTACACATAATTGTCATTTAAACTTTTCAAGTGTCAGTATACCACTTTATTCTCCACTGTCAACAATAATTACATGTGCGGTAATAGGTAGAGCCAATGATTTTCAAAATTGCCCATCTCAACATGTTGTACATGTAATTTGTGTGAACTGTTTGAGTAGTGTAATAAAGGAGTTATGTCACCATTTATCTTGTGCCGTACGTCATGCTGTTGACATCGGCTGAAGATGGGTGAACTCATCTTTCTGACAGGTATTTGTAAAGGAACAGAATGTGGTAAAATAAAAGAAGAATGTATTCACACACATTAATATTGAAAATTTTGTAAGCAGTTCGGTATGTATGTCGTGGGTTTCTTTGATTGGTCAAATTCCATGTAAAGGAGAATTCTCTCCAGTGTTTTTTTCCTTCGAGCAGAAAATCATCAGCTCTACACTTTGTACTCATAATTCTAATTTCTATATCATCACCAATAATAGAATTCTTACATTAAACCTGTGCTTTCTTGTTAGATGTGCTTACAAAGTCAAAGGCTCTCACACAGCAGAATAAACTGATGACATAAAAGAGTGTGTCAGAGCAGAGAGAGACAGTGACACACGGCGAACTACTTTCATGCATGAATATGTGAGAAGTTTCTTCTTACCTGAACACAACAGTACACAATACAGAAATTGCCACCCTACATGTACTTCAGCACATGAATAATCAGCACATGCTATCACAGCCATGAAAGTCATGTATGCAATTGTGATTTGATCTGGAAAAGTCCCTAACACGGTGATACACATATAGTCATCTACAGCAAATTAAATGAGGACACTGCACCAGTTGTTTTATTCATGATTCTACATGTACGTCGTCTATGATTTGAGTAGTGCTCTTGGGAAGTTATTGAAATCAGCTGACCTCAGACAATAGTAGATGAAAAATAGTGGGGGCTATTTTATCATCACCAAAACAGTTTACATGTAGGCAACACAATCTTGGTTTTCCCAGCTCACAACACAATTATCAAACTCTAAATATTAAACAACAAACTCCAGTGTTTGGCATGTACATTAACTCACAGTCTTGACATTCATAAATTCATAATTATTCACTGTTTGGTATGATACATTGTACATCTGATGTACGTTTCCTGACATATTCAGTAGTTTAATATGACTGATGGCAATCTGCCTAACTGATAATGCCTGTAGATAGAGTGCACAAATTCACTTAATGGTGGTAACACTTTTTATTTTAAATATTGAAAGTAAATTTATGTACATGTGTACTAGTACATATATATACATGTATATACCAGTAATAGTCCTCATAGACATAGTCCTCATAGACATAGTCCTCATAGACATAGTCCTCATAGACATAGTCCTCGTAGACATATTTTGAGTACGGAGAATAATACAATGATTATATCATAGATAAATGTACATTATCCACTCCGAGCAGAACAAAATAGGGCATATTTTTTGGTACTCACCGCATAGGTGCACCATGAGGCACGCAAATAAATGCGTGTTTGATGCGAAGCACGCTGAATTTATTGCGGCATGTGTGGTCTTAGCATACACACAGAATGCGTACAAGAACCCGCTTGTAACTGCCTGTCTTTCAGCGATTGGGGGTGCACTTCAGCTCGGGGCGGATAAGGTTTTACATTGTTTATTTACCTGGTGCAGTTATATGTAAATCAACTAAACTAGGTTTTCTTGGGGGAGGGGATTCTTTTTTTTGGGGGGTGGAAGGAGTTAATGTATGTAAGATGTTGCAGTTAACTAACTACTGGTAGTCAGTGTTGCCAAAATTACATGTATGTATTGATTCATTAGTCTACAGCAGTGGATTTGGATTCTGGTGATTAATAGACAATGGATCTCTGAAATCAATTGCAACTTTTTTGCCAATATCTGATACCATTAATGTTGCATTTATAATAAGCGATATATATGTAGTACCATGCTATAATGTACATGTACATGTACTTCACATAAAATTTGATAAATAATATATATGTTTAATTACATTTTGCTCATTGATGGATATTCTTTTTTTCTTCATCGTTAGATTGACAGCAGTGTACGTACATGTATACACATAGGAAGTTGTTAATATAATTGTCATCACTTAGGTTTCCATCCTGAAAGCAAAATTTAACACAATACATTCAGATATGCATGTACCTTGGCTAGTACTGACACACCATAAGTTTTGGCAATTGACTTATTTTAAGTTTGACCCACTGTACCGCCTTGCATTACAATGGGTCAAAATTCCTAATTAAATCTTGTGTCATTCATGTTCATGTATACGGTGCAGCTCTATCCATAAAATTGTACAGTGACTAAATCATGTATGTGAAGCATTGGAGTACTTTCTCTGTGATGCTGTTTCATGTACCATACAAGCTTGGTACATGTATGCACATACATGTACATGTTTGCGTATATCCACGTGAGTA